ATTAAGTTTGAAATTAAATTAAAAATATAATCCTAGATTATTAAACACATTTGAGTCGTTTTTAATAGAAATAATATATTATTAAATAATTTAAAAAATCTTCCTTGTCTTCAAAATTACTTTTTTATTTATAAACGATTTGTTCATATTGAAACAATAAATAAGAAATTAATAATATTTTTATTTTGGAAAAAGCACATTTTGGAGTATATTTTAATATTTCATTAGGTTTTCCAAAATGAACTATTTCCATTAAATTTTCCGAAATGTACTATTTCCATTAAATTAATGGAAAAGGTATACGTTTTGGATTATTTTACATTTTTATATGACAAAAAAATATGTAGATGTAGAATCATTAAAGTCATTCTATCTAAATTTTAAAAACAATACTGATAGGTAATATTATTTTCACAGGCAATTTAAAAAAGTCCCTAAAAAATAAAATAAATGTGTATATTGTATAATAATTAATAAATTAACATATTCAGCCATTGGCCATATGGGGCCCCGCGAAATTCTGCACCGGGCCCCGAAAACCATCGGGCCGGCACTGCTCTGATGTTATGACTTATGAATAAATAAAGACAATATTATACATTTAAATAATAATAATTAACATGGTAATAGACATCTAAGACCAGGATAAAATAGTGTTAGTATTATGTTTCTTATAGTTGTTAAAATTATCAAAATTAGTTAAATTAATATTATATTTACGAAGTAAAGGATAACCATTAATTTTATTATTGGACTCTGTGTGCCAAAATTAGTATGATTAGATGGTACAATTAAATTACAGTTGTTTTTTATTCTCGTATTATAACAATGCAAAGGCTGAAATTGGCTTATGTTTAATTTATATACATATACAATAAAATTGACCGTTCATAAACTTGAAAAATAGTTCTAACTTTCAACTCGGAGTAAATTAAAAGAGTAGGATACAATATTTAGGTTTCCAAGTATTAGGTATTTTAATCAATAAATTAATAGTAGTAGATATAACATTAATACCTATGTGTGGAGTATGTACCACCCGATACTGATTGAACAATAGAATATAGTATAGTATAACTATAAGAGTTCTAGTATTTAGCATATTTTTGAAAAATTTCAACTTATATAATAACTTTCTGAGAAGGTTATTTACATAATAAATATGTTCAATAAATTGTAATCTATAGTCAAAATATACTCCAATATATTTAATACAATAAACTCTATCCACAGGTAAACACTCATAAAGATGATTTAAATATTTACATTTATAAGAGTGCACACACAGTGAAAAATCAGTGCTTATATTATATGAACTATTCATAATATTAAAGACTATATATTTTGATTTAAATAAATTTAGCTGTACCTAAGTTATGATTATCACACCAGTGTTTTACTGCAGATAGACAGTTATTAGCTATTTTATATAAATTGTCATAGCAGTTATGACTTTTAATCGGAATAACTGTATCTTACGCATACCTAACAAAAAAATTCGACATAAAGCATTCTTTTTAAAAGTCTGTTTACGTACCTATATAATTAATAACACAGGGCACTATGGTACTTGAGGTACTGAGAAAAAAATTGTCTTTACATCACTTATTAATCCATTAATTCTTACCTGTTTAAGTCTATCAGAAATAAATGTTTTAATTAAATTAAGAGTATTGCCCCTTATACAGTTATACCTACCACAATATTTTAGTTTTTAATTAATAAATCATGATTTACGGAATCAAAAGCTTTTTTGAAATCAACAAAAGTGCCAAGAACTATATTTATGGTGGAATTTAGATAGAGTCAGCTGTTTTCTTTAAAATAAAGTTAGATAACACACTATTATAAAATGAGGATTTATCAGGTATTTTCTTTAATAGTTTATAAATTTCAAGTGCGTCTATCTGATCAAGGAAAATTGAGTTATTAACATGACAGTTTTTATTCAGATCATTCCAATTTTGTTTTTCATAATTATTTATTTGAATATCATCAACAATATTTTCACTAAACAAATAATAATAATTATGATAATTATCTGGTTCATTTAAAATGTCAGTTTTATCAGTTATAAATGATTTATTAGAACTACTTTCAATGCAACAAATTGGAGTTTCCTCTTTTTTGGTCGAATATGTGGCTTCGTTTATTAATTTCCATGTATTTCCATCTATAAAGATTCTGAGCATAGCGATGAATGTATTAATTTTACAATGATGTGTGTTTTTTTTCGTGTCTGTCATCTCTTTTTAGGACAGTAAAAGTGCTTAGATTTTCTTCAACAGTATCTTTTCTGATAGGAAAGTGAATATAGTTCGTACTTTGGAGTGTCAAAAGTAAAAAATTTCAGTAATTTTCAAAAATGCTATGAAAAACAAAAGAAAAATTAAGGAAAAACGGGTATTTTGACTAAATACCTCTAAAACAAATGACCGTTGATACATGCAATGTTGACTGAATGTTTATATTAGCATTTTCCATACACCCATTCATTTTTAATATATTTTGACATATTTTGAGCTGTTTAAGGACATATTCTGTTTACATTTTTTTTAGTTTTTTATTCTATAAATATCAATACAATTTTATTTACTAGGTAAAAAAGCTTGAAAATTTAATGGAAGGCTAGCTACTAATATACTGTTTTAAAGACAGATGAAAAATATTAAAAATCCATAGTCACAATTTTTTTTTATAAGCATTTAAACTTCAAATATCGACAAAATACGTAAAATTTCAAGTTAGAAATTCATAAAAATTTTTCTTTTTAAATCTAAGAATTTAAAATGTAATATAAGATTCCTCATGAGGTTGTCTACCTTAATCAAAAAAAAAAGTCTTCAAGCAAATCAAATTAAATTTTTAATAGCCTTTGAATTTCATTTTTTTTTTTCATTTTTTTTTTTTACTCGATTTCTCATTTAGCGATTTTGTTAATTTGTTCTATAATTCAAAAAGGAATAACCGTCATTACATTAACGATTCACTGGATGTTTATGTTATCAATTCCTATACTTGATCAAAATATTTTGACTTATTTTTAGCCGTTTACGGACCATCTCAAATTTTAATTTTTTTTTTTCTATGAATATCAATTAAGTTTCATCTGTTGGGACAAAAAGCGTGAAAATGTAATCAAGGATCCTACTATATTGTTACAATAGCAGTTTAAAAATATTAAAAATACATATGCACATTTTTTTTTATAATTATTTTAAGTTCAAATTTTTATATTTTAGTTTTTTTCTCACCTTCCCCCATGTGTGTGTGTACGCCACTGTTGTTGTAAGCATATCATTATTAGAGTGAAACATAAATTTAAATAATTTAAGATTTTGTGGGAGCTTAACAATTTTTTGAACATCGAAGAATATATTATTTTAAAATAACATATAATTAAATGACAACATGGTATGACTAAATTACCTGTCAGTGATTTAATCGGAAGCTCCTAATTGTATAAAATCAACAACTAAACCGAATGCAGCCGGTATTATAAATTGATAAAATATTTTTAGTTGTTCAGGCAATACAACCATAATACTATTGATTTAAAATATTCAAATGATGCTTGAAGTTATTTTAATGTATTTATTATTAATACATTTTTGAAACACTTGATGTGGCCATCGACTGTGCACGGAAAAAAAATTACTATTATTTTATAGTTAAATTAAATATAGTTATATTACTGTATTATTGATTATTATAACTAGACAAGTGTAGTTTAAATAGCTATAATAATATAGTAACATTATAAATAAATAATATAGTTTAACTACCTATAATAATTAATAATGATTAGTTTTATAAATTATTATAGTTGAATCTGGTAACTATAAAATGTAGTTAAAAATATATACATTATATGTTGGCAATGATGGATGGTATTACTATTGTTTATAGTAGGATCAACTATAAAAATAAGTTGTTTTATATTTTGTGGTTATGAACATATTATTATGGTCTATGGTTGTTCCGAATTTCCGATTATTATTTTTTATTTTGTTGTGAAGTTCAAAATTTAATTGACTACAGTTTTCAGGTATGTACACTTTAATATTTTATTGCAGTGTAGTAGTTAGGAGAGGCCATGGCCCTCCCTAATGGTCGTTTGTTTGTGGGGGGTTAAAAAATAGCACCTGGGCATTAAAATCCCAAATACATCACTGTTTCCTATTTTCTTAGCTATGCCACTGTATTATTGATTAACTATTGTAGCCTATACCATGCCAACAATTTGTATGCAAATAACTTGCCAATTTCGTAATTTATGAAAAATATACTTTATATTTCTCCTAGAAAATTATTCAATATCTTTTTTTATAAGTATTCTCTTTAGAATATTATTGAATAATGGATGAATTTACTGAGGACTGTTTAAAACAATGGGGTTACGATCATCTTATAAGCCGTTTCAGAGATATATATTATTAAAATTAAAATAGTAATATTAATTTTTTTATTAAGTTTACTTTTTTCTTATCATATTTTTATAACTAGTATACATTTTTTTTGTAGAAGAAGAAATTAACAAATTTGCTTTTTTAAATTTAACCAAACACATGGTTAAAACACTGATTCCTAAGATGGGCAGTCAGTCAAAATTTTTAGCACTATTAAAAATAATCTCAATGATAAAATTCAAAAAGAAAAAGTAGGTAAAATACATTTTTATTATTTATAGAGATCAGCTATTTAGATTTTACCTCTCTTTTTAATAATTAAGTTTTTAACTCTTAGCTATAGCTATATGAATCTATAGATATGATTAATTATATATCAATATATCATTGCCATTATTTAAAACTTAAATATGAATAGGTACATTAAGTCATTAATATATAACATTCAATTAGCTGATTTTTTTTTATTGTCATTATATCTGTTCAATTTTAAATTGAACTGTAAATCATATATATTTATAATTGATATTTGATTTAAAAAATGTTATGTTGTCTTCGACTCTTCGACGCTGTTTCCTCTAATTTTCAGATTTAAACGGCTGCAGAGTTTCCCGTATTACTGCCACTAGACGATGGAATTATGTAGCAGAAAATTACGACAAGTATTATCTCTATCAGCAGCACTAAAAATGAATATTCAAATTAGTTTAGTTTTATGATGTTTTAAATTTAAATAACAAACAAGTAGTCATAATGTGTAGTTCATAAGCCGAGCGAGTTATCACTAGGTTGCCTAAAAGAGACAAAACCAATGCAATTCCATGTGATATCAGCCAATCTCTAACAAAATTACGCTAAAAAAAAAAACAGTTTTCATAAATATTTGATGATTATAGGTATTATTCTCATAATAAATTATTAAGAATAGGTAATGTAAATATAACTATAAAAAGATATAAATTATTATAATCTGCAAATTTCAAAAATATTATTATTCTTCAATAATTTATGTATAGTTAATTATTTACCGTATTTTGATTTATCAATCCAAAGTTAAAATATAATAACAAAAGGTCTACTAGCATTGCCAGTATCCATATTATAACCATTTTAAGTAAATCCGTTTCGGGTTCATACTTTGTAACAGCTATAAAAGAAACAAAATTATATGTGTTTTTAATTAAATTTAAACGAATACGTATGATTGTAAGAATATAAATAATCGTGTTGGAAAAATAAGCTATAACCTAACCACGATATATAAATTTGTACCTACATTCAATTATTTTAAAATTACTTATATCAAAGTGTTAATTTTTAAATTACATTTTTTACATACTTCCAACATCAAAATAAAATTTAATAGTTGAAAATTACTAGAAAATTAATAATATAAATTAAACTATTGGTTTTAAATATAATAACAAATGTTCAAAACAGTTTAAAATAATTAAATAAAAGTGGCCTCCTGGCAATAGTGCTATAATTGCATCTGCATGATTGATATGTAATTATAAAATTATATAGAAAATATACCTTAAATGACATAGGTACTTACCCTCGATATGCAAGAGAAATCCCAAAAAATATATTGTGTACACAATCATTTCCAATATTAAAAATATCTGAAAATAAAATTATGACATGAAACTTTACATATTATAATACGTATATAACTGTTACCGTAAAAATCAGAGAGGAACTCGCTGTACGGTAAGTTTCGGTTGTACATGGTCATCGAACAGGTAATTTTAATGGGGCGTGAAAAAAAAGCATCTTACATTTAAGATTTTCGAGGAAGAAATTAGAGTTCTCGAGCGTTTAGGAAGTTACGCGTGCAATATTAGAAGCGATAAGCGCCGGACACGTATCGGACTCAGACTTCGATACGAGTCAGTACGTAATTGCTTATGTCGATACGTAACTAATCTATTTCGATACGTAAAGAATTTTTCTTCTTGAAAACCTCCATTTTTGAGAATTTCCGATAAACCCTCAGTCAAAAGACATTATTCTTTCAAAACGGTTGCGAATGAAGGAAATTGACACTTCTATGCCTAGGTCCGTGTTATGTGTAGGTAATTTTCAATCTTTTGCACGCTAAGAAACAAAACTGTCAGCGATAACTTGAACATAATGTGAACAATGGAATAATACAAAAATTAATGATACAGTCACACAATATAAAGAGAAATCTTGTCAAACTTTCACAAACTATACGGTGACAAATGTGAAACGAACCAAATTGTGCTCAAGCTCTATTTTTTTAATTCTATCGGCGTCCGTAATAATCCTCATTACACAACGAATATTAGGTAGGTATTCTATCATATTATATATAGTTATGATGATGATGTAAAATAGTTGTGCCCCACCTGCTGGGAACCTATAACGTCATGTATCAATCTACAATCTACCTGCTCTTTTCGCTATTTGTTGTCAGTTTTCAATACGCAGTTAAAAAGAACTGGGATTTCCTAAAGTAAGAAGTCTTATACTTGAATTAGTTTTTTCTACTTACAACATTTATAATACCGATCACTTTAAGACCTTTCCACGACATAGTTGTCTGTGATTCGTTCGTCTACGTATTTATTTTGACAATGGATATTATATTCGGAATGTTTATGTATTGTTGAAAGTTTATAACGGAATCGTTCGACAATAGTTCTTCTTTCTTCAATTTATTCTTTCAGTAAAAAAATCAAAAACAATCAAAGTGTTCTAAACATTAATAAAAATGTACTAAGACTAACGTCTACAAGCAAGTCTAAAATCGAAATGATTCGTTTTAAATAAACACTATCCAATATTAAAGTTATTTTAAATAAAATACTGTAGTCTAAACAACTGTATCCAAATTATTGTTTATTATAGTGGCCACTGTCAATGTTAGCTTGTTCTATAAAATGTATGAATTAATTTCATTAAATAAATCTTTTGGTGTCTTTTGAAATTTTGAGTTATAAATATTTTTAGCACATTAACTAATACTAGGGAATTTTGTATTTTGTATTTTTTTTTTTTTTAAACCACCCGAAGGCTTTTTTTATTATAACGATCTAATGATGTTTAACAATAAATGTATGAGGTGTACATAAATATTAAATATTAATAAATTAATAAATAAATATTTAGTAAATATATACAAAAAAGAAAACATGTTTGGGACTTGGGTTATTACTCCCTGCAATGGAGAGCCTTAGTCTAATAATTTAAACTAGGTAAGTCATATGATTTTCGGCGTTTGAGACTCCTAATGTCTTTGAGAGTCATCAACAGTTATAACAGTTGAATTGCTGCTGGATTGGTGTGTTTATGTAGTCTTTTCTCATGTTTTCTGGCAAACTTATTAATCTCGTCCTGGACCATGATCAAGCTCCTGTTTACGCTTTATTAGCCCATTGACGTTCCATGTAATGATTCTAAGTGTATTGTTCACTAAAATATCATTAAGTCTTGGATCATTATTTTCCTTAGGTTGTCGTATTGACATTTGAGGTACAGATTGGTTATATCTTGAAGCACTTGAAGTACTAGCCATTTGCGAGTACAAAATGTTTGTTGTGACCGGCTGAGCTGGTTTCTGTTGCATCCTTTGCGCGGGCGTAATGCGTATTTTTAAAAATTTAAATGTGTTTGGGCAATTTAGCAATTTTGGACGAGTGATTTCAACACATTATGTTTGGGTGACCTTTTTTTAATATCCTGGGATGCTGTATTTTATCAATCCATTTTCCCTCTCATTTTGACAGACTTGGGACTGTTCATAAATTCCATGGGTATGATTAAAAATGGATTGTTTTTTTTTTGTGTACGCATGTAATTAAAATTGAAATGATTTTAAAAATATCTTTGTTTTTTGTTTATTATTTTTTTTCCTGGAAATTTTACTCCCATACGTTGTATATGTTACCGTCAGTGATGTAAATATATTTAATAACGTAAATGCCTTGCCATTATCATATCCCAACAAAAACACTTCGTCGAACTCCGTGTAAAATATTGCTAAGTAAAAAAAAACTAGTCATCTATAAGACTTCAGCATTATAAATATGTGATATCATAAATAAATGCTAAGTTAACTTAAATTTAAAAAAAACTAGTAATTTATAATACTTAAACATTATAAAGATGTGATATCAAGAATAAATGCTAAGTAAATTAAATTTTAAATTAATTGATTCTATCTCAATCATTTATTTACTTTGCGAGAATTTATTTTCTTTACAAATTAATAATTAACACTTTTTTATAAAACAAATTTAGTAACATTTGTCATTGAAATTTGTTATGAATAGACATGTTTATTTGTCGAAATATATAAATTATAGCCAAGTAAATAAATGATTGAGATAGAATCAATTAATTTAAAATTTAATTTACTTAGCATTTATTCTTGATATCACATCTTTATAATGTTTAAGTATTATAAGTTACTAGTTTTTTTTAAATTTAAGTTAACTTACCATTTATTTATGATATCACATATTTATAATGCTGAAGTCTTATAGATGACTAGTTTTTTTTTACTTAGCAATTTTTTACACTGAGTTCGACGAGTGTTTTTGTTGGGATATCAGTAGTTTTTTTATAACATATTTTTATGTACTGGCATTTATTATTTTATAATTAACATCTCATTACAATACCAAGATAGTTCTGGAAGTTCTATGTTAAATGGCTGAAATAAATTCATTATTTTACCATTTTCATTTATTTCAAGTTTAATTGTATTCATAGAACTCAATGGCTTGTAAACTGTATCTGTGTAAAATGGTTCTGTATACTTGGAATGATAAGATTGCCCAAAGATAAGTTTAAGAAAATTGTAGTTTAGTTCATCATTAATATCTGAAATACTAGCTGTATAGTTAATGTTCTTATTTATTACTTTTTTTAGTTTTTTAAATGTCTTTTGATAAATAACAACGTTTTGCTTTCTGAATTTAAATACCCATTTCAAAATCCTATCTATAACAATTCTAGACTTATACAGTGGCATATTTAATTTATGCATAAGTTTATTAGTCTACTTTTCTACGCTTCCATAAAATGGAAATATTTTTTTGATTTCTTAGAAATTTTTTTTGTGGTTATGGTGATCGAATTTTTTATTAAACGTTCATCCTTACACACTGTATTAGTGGTTTTTTTTTAAAAATAATGTCTCCTTTTTCGTAACTTCTGTTTGTATGTCTTAGAAACCATTTTAGAAATAAAGAATCACAAATTATAATATAAATAAATAATATAGTACGGCCTACTACAACACTGTAACAAACGAGACAACAAATAAAACGTCTTTTTTCTATCGGCGCGGCGGCGAATAAACACATCTACACCGAACGTCACCAGAAACATGAATGTCGATAACAGAAATAACGAATACGATAAACGAAGACGCGGGAAAGGCGGGAACCGCAAGTCGCAACCGCTGCCCAGTGTACGACCGCGACGAAAACGTATACGGAATAGAGGGTAATACGGTCTCGTGCGCTGCTGCGTGAAACGTAATAACTAAAAACGGTCGAGCACAATATCTTTTTGCTTCAAAAATACTTGACTTTTTTGCTAATATATTTGTTATTATTCAACCATTTTTTTCGAAAATGACAAAGGTATAATCTACAAATCATGCCCGATCTATTGATACCACAAACAGACCAATCCGTTCATTCATTAGGTCTGTAGCCCTGGCTAAAGAAAACGGGCAAATTTACACACATTCAATGGGCAAACTCTGGCTCGTGTAATATACAACGGTAGTGACCGCTTCGCTTTTTTTTTTTTACTTAGCTTCGCGCCACTACCGTCGCGCTGGATATTCCTAACATTAGTAGACAATATCGCCAATGCCTAAGCATTAACTGACAACATAGGCAAGGTTGCAAAATTAAAATGTATTGTTATTACATTTATTACTATGACAAGGAAATTACTTAAATTTCTAATATTGATAGACAATATTGATAATTTTAAAATATTTAAATTGGTTCAGAAATTTGATAATGCATATAAGAAAAATTTAAACTTAATATTACATAAATAAAATAAATAAATTGAATAATTTATTTTTACAATTTGATATACCCTGACCCTTTGAAGGTATTTACTATAGATAGATACTAGATACATGTTATGGAATGTGCTAGTAGGAATGCATGTGTACAAATATTATAATTTAAATAATATATAATTATTAATCAATTATTATAAGTAATAAGTAATAGCGATTTATATTGTAAATCTACTATACAGGGTGATCCATTTAACGTAAGACACTTTATCGTTCAACCATCTACTTTTCGTATAATAAGTGTCTTACTTTAAATGGATCACCCTGTATAGATGATATATTAAGTATGATGTATCCGATATACAGCTATTTTTCACTTAAAATGTACCTAATGTACGGCCATCGACATACTAGAGTTGGAAAGTATGTTATTGTTACTTATTGTTAGTACCGATTATGGTTAAATCGACTTTACAACGCAAGGTCGTTTCTAATTATTAAAATTGACAAATACATTATTTCTAAATGCATCATTGCCTGAAAATAATGGACATAAGCGTTATTTTCTAGTCAATATCGTATACTGTCTAATTTGATCGGAAATGTCGTTTTGACTAGTCGTTAATGTTTATTCCTTAATTTACGTCTTTGCCGGTAACATATATACTCTTAAACCTTAATTTCACCTGACATATAATTATCCCAGCATGTTTTTAAATATTCTTGTTTTTCTAATATAAGTTTTCGTCGAATATTGTAAATATTTTTATTTATAGCATTGCATTTTTTATTAGTTTCTACTTGAATTTGTTGTAACACATTAATTACTTGATATACATTTGGATGCGATGAATACATCTACTACAAGATAATCAACCATCTAATTATGGAAGGCCCTCTGGACTGTGAGACCAACGACTCAGTCTGCCAGGGATCTAGTAAAGAGAGAGGCGCATATATACTATATAGGAGCCCGGGGAGTGGCACATTATTTCACATTAAATCTGTCAAACCAAATTCTTCCAGTTTTGTCTACCTTATTGGTCTAAAAGTCACTTATTTTTTCATTAACTGGAGTCCCCTCCAGCCCCCTGAAGGTTTATTTTATGATACTTAATTTAAATATATTGAAAAACATTATAACAAACAAAATTAGTGTTTAGATTGGTCAAATCTACATTAGTTTTGACTTTTGACAAAACCTGCTGCAGCCCCCTTAACTGCTTATTGCGGGACTTAGAGAATATTCGAGCAATCGCTTATTTTCTGGTGTTCTTCGTTAGTTTGAATAATCTAATAGTATAAATTCAACTTGTCTTATATATTTTTTTAAATTTTAATAAATATTACATCAAACCACAAATTGCTGATCATTTGAAGCTTCTACTATCATCCTATCCTGTCACCATCTCCTGTAAGCCGGGTGCACGCAACACACATATATATTTTTTGTGAGAGGAAGACTTTTGGGATAGGATAAAATTTATAATATTTCAAAACCTTCTATAATTGCTTGCTAAACGAGCAACAGGTATGTTTCCGCT